CGAACTCTAACTTGGGATCTAAAAAGAAGATGGCATGGACTTTCCTGTGAGAAGCTCTGTCTCCTGGGAGGAAGCAGACGCATGTGAAGAATTGCCGTTTAGAGTGACAGCTCTCATGACGGAAGCAGACGTGGGATGCAGCGAGGCGCCACAGGGAAGGCACGAGTAACATGGCTACGAAGTGAAACAAACAGCGTGCTATTTGCATTCTTGATCGCAGAGCATCCAGTGCCAGGGCTGGAAGGAACCGCAGTGATGATACACATAGGCTGTACATCTTCAGACGGAGGAGTGGTTGAATGAGATCGCCTCTCAAACCCATCTGGGCTCTAAACTGAACTTTCTTATGGACAAAGCAATGGTACAGTGCACTGTTGAGACCATAAGATACTCCTGAAAGCAGACTGGTAGGAACTCAATTGCTAGTTGATTCTTTATTCCACTCAAGACACAGAGAAGGCGCTTGTTTTCCCAAGGCCCAGGCATCTTTGGGAGGCTCAGCGCCCTTGAGTCTGTCCGAAGCTGCATGAGATGCACTTTAAGAGACCGTGGGCTCAAAAAGCTGTAGAGTGCCATGGCCGCCACGGTCATTACCGTTCTCCCAGAAATATTTAAACTCCCTGCAAGACTACATTTATTTCTCCAAAGCTGCGCTTTTCTCCTGCTCTAGGGCTGTGGGTAGGCTTCGTGAGACCCAAAGACACCCAAAGCTGCCTGCAAAATGTGTGTGTGCAACACTCTCTTGTAAAAAGGCCCACCGCATTTACCAGGCTCTTAAGGAGGGTTGTGAGCCACAGAAGTTTAAGAGCTCATTTGTCCTTGCACATCTGTATTAAATATTAATCCAAGGGCCCTGGCTGTGCACACATGCCTACGTGTGTGTCCTCACACTCCAGTAACCTCCAGGAGACAGACAAGACACTCGCTAATGACCTTTCTTTTTACTTCCACATTAAAAAAAAATTTTTTTCTAGCAAAATGTCATCCCTGGGACATATAAAACTGAACCAGCAAAGGCAAAAAACTTCAAAAAAAATCAATTATCCATTTAGGCACTGTGAAAAGTCTACTTTGAGACCTAGAGTCTCAGGGACTGTCAAAGCTCTAGTTAAATTTTTAATAAACTAAAAGGATAATGTTAAAGAAGAGACCTTTCCAAAGGTAAGCTGGTGACAGACAAGCTCTGGAAATGGTTCTCATCAAAGGGCACATCACTGAGGATGGTAACTGCGGGCAAGAACTCTCTAGACTGGGGTTAGAAGCCTGAGTCTCTGGAGATGAGCCCCAGTGGGGTCTTTGGAGATGCATCTATTTGTATTTAGATCCTTGGTGATTTCACCCAGTGTCATGGGTTTAAAGGACAATTTTGTGCCAATGGTCCCCAAGCTTATCTCTCTGGTCCAGACTTCACACCCCCAAACTCCGACTCTTACAGCCAACCACCTAATAATCAGGATCTCCACCTGCATGCCTACCAGTAAACCCCACAGTCCAAAACTGAGTTCTTGACGTCCTCGTCTAAAATCCACCGTTTCAGGACAGCAGCTCCATCCTTGCAGCTGGTCAGCCTTCCTTCCTGGGAAGAGCTCGGCATCCTTCCTAGCCCCTGTCTTTCTCTCACACCCACATTTAACCCATCAGCAAATATCCCTGGCTCCACCTTCAACAGACACCAGAACAGGACCACTTCTCAGTACCTCTGGTACCACCTCCCTGCACAGAGCCACCGCTGTCTTCAGCTGGGATTCCTGCAGACCCCCTACCATCCTCCACACACAGGTCGCCTTGCTCCCACCCCGGCCCCTCCCAAGTCCACTCTGAACTCAGCACTGAGGAAGAACCTTTTAAAGCACAAGTCAAATCACGTGCTTCTCTGTTCAAACCCTGGGGTGGCTCATCTCCCATAGAATAAAAATGAAAAGGCTTACCATGCCTCTGAGTTCCACTGAGGGCAGGCTGACTTTCCTGGCCTCACCTTGTCCTCCTGTCCCTCCCACTCACACTGCTCCAGCCACACTGGACTCCTGGCTCCTCCTCATGGGTGTCAGATGTGCTCCTGCCTCAGGGCCTTTGCACTGGCTGCTCCCTCCACCTGGAACACTCACTCTCCCCCAGTGGTTGGCATGGCTGACTCAGCGCAAGGAGGTCTTAATGACTACCCTCACCACGCTATTTAAAACTGCAACTTCTTTCTACAACATGTTACCATCTAACTGCCCTGGTGAACTTTTTCTTTCTTTAGAGCACTAACCGCCTTCTAATAATACATATAATCCACCTATTATTACTATGCTCATTATCTATCTCCCTGCTATAACGTTAGTCACAGGAGACGGGGGATCTTGGTCTGTTTTATGACAGATATAATCAAGTTCTTGTTAGGACACATTACTAAAACACAAATAATAAGATAAGGCAAGACTAGGATAGAAATCTCCCCTCGAACCTCTCAATCCAGGCAAGTGAGCTGCTCTCCACTTAACGAACTGTTAGCACTCGGCTTCTGATTAAGGCAACTCAGTTCAGATTCCCATGAGCCACGAGATCCTCACTTTGAGAGATACTATGCATTCCCCATGAAAGGGACACAAGGTTGAACTTGGACTTGGAAATGCCAAAGATCCCGAACAGGGCCTTTATAGGGAAGAAGTAACACTTGAATCCGTGATGACTTAGGATCACCAGATCTCATTAGATTCCAGTGTCATTCCACACATCTTCCTGCCGGCACACTCTTGTTTCTGGCCTTCATCCAACTTCTCACGGAGTCAATAAGCATTTAAGAGAGTATATACTCTGACTCTCCCTGACCGTCTGCCAAATAAGCCAGGGAACAATTCCCACTGAGGATATGGGGACATGGAAGAGCGGTGGCAGGCGGGGCACGGGCAGGAGGCAATCGGGGGGAGCTTATTCCTGGGTATATGAACCCCATCACTATGAAATCTGGATCTTAGAACACTCCTTGGCTTTTCATGGGGACAGGGAATCACCAAAGGAACCTCAAGCCAGTACGGTAATCTTGCTTGGCTCTACACCCACTGGACAGATCTTTATTCTTTATCAACTGGCTAAAAGAAGGCCAGCCACTGCTGTAACTGAAAAGACAGTGTGAGCACCTTCTCCTCTCCAATGATAAGCAGCTACTAGATTGCAAGTGACTATGGAGGTTTTCAAGGTTGGCCTCTACCAAGCCCTTGGGCTTCACACCACCCTTTAAGATTCGGGGAACGGGTGTGACAGACCCTTGCACCAAGGCAAATCCAGGTTTGTGCCCTGGGATCCCACATAAGGCTTCACCTCCAGGCAGACAGAACAGCAAGCTCTAGAAAACCAACCAAGAGTTTACTGATAACCCAAAGCCAAGAGAGAAACGAGAAACAAATGCAGAAGAAACATTTAAGGGCAAACCAGCCTATGTGATCATATGACAGAAGCTCCTAAGACTGGGATGGAAATAATCAGGAAAGTGCTTCTCATCGAGAGGAAGATCTGAGCTTAAAAAGTGATTGCACACATCGTCTTTTAGACAGATTGAATTCTGGAATACGTAACACATTGAAACTTTCATTCCTTAAAGAGGACCAAAAAAGTTCTTCGTTGTGCAAGCAAAAGAGAATGAAGTTACCCACACAGGAGTAAACCCGGGTTGCCAGGGTCGTTGCTTCCAAAGTACCGAATGAAGCCAGGAATAATGAAGCAGCGCCTTTAGGGGCTGGGAAGAGAAACATGTGCCCTTAGCAAGCTCACCAGTCAAGGCATGGTTCCTGTAATAGGGTAACAGCTCGACAGGCATGAACGAACTCTTCAAGGACTTAGAGATTATGTCACCCGGGGACGTTCCTGAGCAAGATTACTACTCAAACGTGAAATCCAACATGATGAAAGGTGGCTCAGAATGTTAAAACCTCAAGACCGAGGAAGTCAAAACTGGAAAGGAGGACAGGAGTATTATTAATATGAATAGTATTACTAATGCTAATAGTAGCTTTAATTTTTCAAATGTTCATTTGGCCCAAGTACTGTACCAAAATCTATCTGTACGTAGGTATGTATATGGGTGTGTGTGCGTGTGTATAAAATCAAGTACATAATACATATGAAAATATATATTTATATATATAATATATTTATGTATATTTTAAATATATATATATTATATATAACCATATATTTATATATTTATATAAAAATCCACAGTATCAAAATAAGTGTATTTTAATTTGTAAGTAATATCCCCAGTTGTCTCAGTGGCAGAATTATATTCATGTCATAGAGTAAAGGAAGGTTCGGGGGCTCAAGTACTTTGTCCAGATACGCTAAGCAGTAAGGAGCGGAGCTGAAATCCCAAAATGTAACCCAAGGACTTCTCCTCAGGTTCCCTCAATTTTTTTGTATAATATTTGTATTCTTCTTTTCATGCTTATCTGCGCTTTCTAATTACTCTAAATGAAATATATATGAGCTTTAAATAGAACACCAATAAATTTTTTTCAGTTAAATTCAACAACAAATACAAAACAAATTACTCCAAAATGCTAAAAAGGAAAGGACCGGTAAGGACATTTCAGAAAGATGCCCACATGAAGAAAGCAGGTAAGACAAACATCACTGTTAAACTGTATTAAATTCAGGATTTTCAAAGAGTATTAAGCAGAACCAGAGGCAATCCGTGTTGATAAAAGGCACCTTCCATTGTAATCATGTAACAGCTCTGAATTTATGTGACAAATGACTTAATGACTTGGGAAGATATTCCTATGGGGAAATCAGAGTGAAATTCTTCAAAGTAACTGCAAGGGGGAGTTCTGACATACACTGATCGATCTAGAAGAGGTGACCCAAAAAATACAGCCAAGAAAGATTTGTACTGCCTCTGCAACACCCCTCAAAAAAGGACCCATATCATAATCGCCCACGGCCCTTTTCCAGCCAGGCAACCGAGCAGAGTGCCTTTACCCTCGGGCAGGTGGCCGGATGCCGCCGGGACAAGATCTCACCTGGCACGTTGTGTATGGTGATGGCCAAGATGAGCAGGGCGATCCTTCTCCAGTGGCCGCTGCCGGGCGGTGCCAGGTTCTCCCGGGAAGGCGCAGGGGCAGCAGGGCCCTCTGGCAGGCTGGCAGCCACCAGCTTCTTCCTCTGATACGCCTCGCCATTCTCACTCTTGTCTGGGCAAAAAGACAGGGGCGGGAAGAGAGAGGGCTTTGAAAACGTGCGTGTGGTGCTTGGATGAGAAGCAGCGGGAGGAAGCTTTCAAGACAGGAAACGGTCTACTTCCTAACTTCTTAACGGGCTGTGTATCCTTCTGACGGGTCCTTTATTCATCCATTTCTTCCTTCCTTCCTTCCTCCCTTTATTCATTCATTCATTCATTCAGCAAACATTTATTGGAGAGAGAGTAATGCCTAATGTACAGGTACAAAAAAAGGGTTAAAAAAAAAAGAAAATGGGATATTCTAGCACAGCCTATTTAAGAAAAACCACACTGAAGAGTCATTAGGAGCACAGATCCCAGAACCAGCCTTCCTGGCTCACTTTCTCAGTGTGTGGGGCCAAACAGGCTGTTGGGGATACCGCTCGTGCCTACTCCACCGGGCCTTGTGAGGATTTAGGGAGGGATGGCAGGTAAATGCTTGGACTGTTCTAGGTGTTAGGTGTGGACTATTTTGTGCTGTGTGTCCCCTCTCTCCCACAGCCCTGCAGGACTATATCACACGTGACCTGCTCTCCTGGGCACACAGACTTATGGGAACCAATACAGGTGCCTGGCTCAACCAATCAGATTCTCTCCACAGGGAAGGGCGACAGGAATGGGAAGGACCCAGGGAGTCAAGTATGGGTTCTGAATATGAAAGGGAATATAATGTAAGGGCAGCCATGACCAGAATGGGTCGAGGAAGCAGCCTGACAGACAGAAGGAAACAGATGCACGCAGACAAGTAGAGAGATGGGAAATCAGGCAGCCAGGGAGAGGGAAAGAGAGACAGAGACAGAGCAGGCTCTATCATTTCTAAGGGCCAGGTTGTCCCAAACACTCTTGGTCTCCTGGGTTATTTGTTTATTCCTAATGGAGGCAAATCTCCTGGCTCTGAAATACAGAACAGGCAGGAGGCAGAGCTCCCAGACTGCGGTTCACAGTGTGGGATGGATTTGTGGGAGAGGCTTCCTGGAGGAGGACAGTCTTGAGCAAATCTGCAACACGTGGTGGCATGAATGGGAAAAATGGTGTCTCCATCATGCGTGAGTATACGAACCAGCAAAGCATAACCAGAGGTCATGGACAGGATACCAGAGCCTGCCTGTAGGGGGACCATCTTGAGCAGGGCAAGCATACATTCGTTTTGGGTAGCTATCCCAGGGGGCCTGTCTGCACCCTTTTGACCAACAAAGCATCCTGGTTTGGATGATAAATCACCCCCTGGTTGGGGGAAAGAACAAAAGCTTGACTGATGCTCTGTTGGGGGACATCCTTCCCTGAAGTTCATGGCCATCACCTGAAGAACAGGGAGGGACTCTCTGTGGAAGTGCTACTTCCCTTCTCTATTTACACATTTTCCACCAGCAAAAAAACTCTCATCTCTAAGCTGAAAGTTGCAGAAAATATGCCCCAAGTCAGATTAGGAAACAGCGGGCATCTGGCTGGGCCCCCCTGCTCCTGGCTGAAAAGCAAGGCGCGTTTCACCCCATTTAGCCCAGAGTCTCAGTGCATAAACTCCATCATTGATTCGCTTTGCAGATGAACCCACCTCAGTGGAATGCCATTTTGTATTTCAAAAGCAAGAAAAGAAAAAAAAAAAAAGCACTTTTTTGGAAATTCATTTTGTTTGTTTAGTCAAATTGAGCAAATGCAGCTTGAAAAGCAAGAAAGAGCCAAAGGGCAGGCAGACCCACCCTTACTCAGGGCCCAGGGGGCCCTCCTGCAAACAGCTGCACTCTTGGTTCTGTTCAGGAGAAGGGGCCTCTTGCTGATCCCCTGAAATGCAGGGGTACCAGCCCTCCGATGCACGGATGCACGGTAGCCACAACTCACAAACCTGGCCTCTCGAGGACACAAGCTGTCTCACAGCACAGCAACTCCTCCCAGACAGTATTTGCACAAGGCGAGGCTAAATACTCACCTGCCTCAGATACCGTACAGCACGGTGTGTGTGTGTCTCTGTACACAGCTGGGGGAGTGTTTCTGTATGTATTAGGTTGACAGTATCTGCTGACTCAGGTTGCAGAGGCTGGTTAGAAAACTGAACTGACCATTCGGGATGGCAAGTTTGTAAACGCTGAACATGTGAACAAAGCAGGCCCCGGGGCTGTCCAGGAACTGAGCCATATTGCGGTGCAGGGTCCTGGCTTTCTCCTAGGCCAGCCAGAGGACGCCGATGATGGGCTTCCTTTGAGCACACAGACCTGACCCTTATGCTCTCCAATGGGAGTTGATTGGGAAAAAAGAAAAAACTCCTCCCTTTTGGGATTTTGTGATTTAAGAGAGGGCAGACAGGGAAGACATAGCTGATTCCTTTAAATCAAAGAGGCAGAAATGCACACTCTAACCTGCAGTGAGTTTTTACCCACTGAGTTTGTCACAAAAGCATTAGACTGACTACTGCAGATAATGCACAGAGGGCAGCGGAGATGGGCGACATCAGCAAGTTACAGCAGCCTGCACGGGTTTAAAAAGAACACTAGAGAAGCATAACCAACCCAGGTAGGGACGCATGCGTCACTGTGGGGTCCCAAAGTGTGAAAACTGATGTCAGTGCCTTCTCTAGTGGGAAGCGGGAGGGTGTGAGCGCCTGGCCTACTTGTGAGAGTTAAATAAGTTACCGCTTGGTAACAGCCACTAATGAGTCTGCCACGAGGAAAACCAGCCCAAATAAATCACCGCGGAGCGCACGGATGCAACCCAAGCAATGAATCTTCTTGCCTCTCCTGGTAAGGCCAGTTAAGCCATTGCACGCCATCAAGGAAAATGCCAGCACCACGGGCCGAGGATGAATACTTAACAGAGGCAATTGCCAAGCCTGGTGTGGGGTACGGAAGTGTGCAAGATCCTGTGAGACTTCTTGAAAGAGGAAAGGTTGGGGCATTTGCAAAGGAGGGTTTGGCAAAGAGGAAGGAGCCGATGTCAAGTTGAGAAATGCAAAAATGACATCCGTGACACCAACTAATAGGTTGTACTGAGAACTTATCCTCGATTAATCCTCAATCCTTACAAAAGCTCCATGAAGTAGTGATTGTTTCTTTTTAAAACATGAGGAACTTGAAGAGCAGAGAGGTGAAGCAACTGGTTCCAGGTCACACAGCCAGTCCAAGGTGGAGTCAGGGTCAAGCCAGGTCCTTCCCCACCCCAGGCCACCTCTTTCTCAGGGCCCGGGCTGACTGGGTGGAGGGGTGCAGTGTTGATCTGTGCCTTTGCTCGACAAAAACAGTAGTGAGAGTGGCCACTCCAGTGACATTTAGGGGCTCAAAATCCCATGTCCTTAGTTCAGAGAGGTTTAGATTGCACAGAGGGGATGGTGAGCTTGCACTGGGTGAGGGCGGAGGAGGAACAGGCGTGGGGGCAGTCTCACACCTATGATCATTCCCACACAGAGACAAAGCTGAAAACATTTCATGAAATCGGTGTTTCTTAACCAATTCGACTCCTAAGTGTAAAGCAGTAGAAAGTATTTATGATCACCAAGCACAGAGCAAAGGGTTACAATCCTTTCCAAAGGTGGAAAGGAAAGATTTCAAAGTTGCCTTTTACCAACAACACATTTTTTTTTAATTTAAACTCAAGCATCTAAGAACCCACACAAAGAAGGGATCCACTGCTGGGCTGTCCTTTGTCCCCCACTTCTTCCTTTCTGGAGAGGCACTGCCTGGCAGCATTTGAGAATGAGGGTCACAGTGGGACAGGCAGACCGGTCCAAGGGTCACTTTTGCCACTGAATCATCAAGTGATCTTATGTGACACCTTTGCTTCCTGGTTTCCTCGCCCCCAAACAACGGACATAGTTCTTGCCCCAAGACATCATATCTTAATTCAAAAGCAGTCCTTGGTCTGGCAGACACAAGCCAGGGGGCCAGAAGCATGCCTGGCTGCCCGAGTAGGCCCCCTCCCCGTCAACTTGGATTCTCCCCAGTGAAGATCCCCTCCCTAGATCAGTGGCTCTAAATCACCCTGGATGAGCAGCTACTTCTGAAAGTATGGGAGAAGCTACAGCCTTCTCTCCAGCAAAAAAAAATGCACAAAGAGATGATTCTGAAATAATTTTTGAACCCTTATGGATTATTTTCAAGGACCTCACACTGACAACATCTTGCTAGATAAATGTCATGTTAACCTTTGTTTTCATAACCCGTGGGCCCAGCACCACCAGAACCCAGGATGTTGGCTGTCTCTGTGATGATGTAACCAGCCAAATCTAATAGGCCCGGTGACGGAACCCCGGGTCTCCAGGGAATACAGCGGCACTAATTACCAGATCACCAGCCACAAAAGCTTTAAAAATATCCCCAAGATATCACTGGAGATGATTTGGTTGCAGTGAAAGAATTACCACCAAGAGGCAAATCTGCATCTGCTAAGCACAGAAAACTTCAAATCCCTGGAAAAATACCTGCTTTCTAAACCCCTTATGTAGCATAAAATGAAGAGTAGCCAGTGATAGATATTCACTATGTATCATATATACACAAACAAGAGCCAAAGACCCACCAGAGGCAGGGAAAGAGGAGGATCCGTTTACTTATAATTTTCCTTCCTTCTTGCCTCCCAGAGAATCAGTATAACTTGGGGCAAGAAATTCAATTATCAACAGGAATGTGACAATGCTTGCTCAGAATTTGGTTCCGTTTCTTCAATTTGGATATGAGCGTGACTTCCTCTGTATAATTAATGCTGAACTTGAACACGAAATGAAGACTCAAGATGGCTTAACGTCAACCTTGGCACGTAGGAGAACCAAGGCCCGGGGACGCCCTTTGTGACAGTCACACGAAAT